CTCACTGAGAAAGATGCAAAATTGTATGAAATAACGATAAATTTATCTATATATATAGCATTCCAAAAATGACTCATATTTTAACATTGAACTTGGGGGGTGTACATTTTTTACTCAAAATTTCAATAAAACAAAACCCCCAAATTCTTCAAATTCCCATAAAATACACCAGAAATGGTCAAGTATCAAAACTCACTTGTTGTTTTTGTGCGAAGTCCATGTTTTGAAGTAGTGAAGAGTTGATTGCAGTGTCACCTTTTTTTCTTTGTTGGAGGCACGTTGGATAATAGTTTTGGACTTGACATGAGGTGCTGAGATTGCATCACAATAGTCAAAGTGCAGTAGTCTGTCTTTAGACACTGGTTGGCTGTGTGAGATGTGGATGTGAATGCCCCTAAATGCGCTGTTTAATTGATTGAATTTTTCTCTGAGCGTGTGAGCGGTGTCAATTATGTTTTGGTTATGGGTGTTTTCTACTGTTTCTTTTACAATAAGTGCAGTGAGGTCTTTATAAACCCGAATCATGATGTATTTGTGGCAGTGATTGCCAATGAAAGAGCGGCTGTGATATACCAGCGGTGTGATGTTGTGTGAGTCAAGTATGGTGTCTAAATGAGAACAGATAGGGTCAGTCCTTGGGCCAAGGGGTTCATGCTCTGACTCAGACCGCGTGCCTTTTTTCTCAGTCATGTGTTTTTGGAAGTTAATTCTCTCTTCTTCAGCATCAGAAAGTATGACGCAACCTTCTAAATATTTAATCCTCCCCGTTTAGTTCCTCCCCACGACTTCAGTTTTTGCCATATGTGCAAAATGACGATGAATCTCCTTTAAAGTCTTCCTCTGATTGCTTTTTTAGCTGTATGTCTGTTTTGTGTGTCGCTGCCTCCAGCAAACGCTAGTGGTTCAGAACTACACCCAGAACGATATGAATGTATAATGGGTGCTACTTTACCGGTTCAATGTTTATAAGTGGGGGGTGTAAACTGTTGTGAAAACGAGCAATAAGAGTAGTTTGAGAACAACCAGGTGGTTATAGTGCCCTGATAGCAATGTTTCTTTATATGTCCTATCTTTTCCATGCAAACTGAACACATAGTTTTTTAATGTACTGTCTGTGAGTCAGTTGTGATGCAAACATCAAAGCCCAAGAGAATGTCCAATGCAAATTTAGAACGCAGAAGGGGTCGCATTTCACCACGATACCTCACATTTATAAAATAAAAAACTGGATGACAGTGCCAGAAATACACCAAAGATTTGTGACACTACGAAGAAGGCCACGTCATCCACATCTTTAAAAGCATGAGGTCTGGTCAGACACTGCCAACTCATAGGGTGTACATTTGACAGTCGAACTACGATAAAAGATTACCATGTTTTCCTATATCATGTCAGTTTGCCACCTGTCTATTGAAAGAATTCACTCTTAGTGTACGCACAGAAGGCTATTCCTCCTTTGTAAACAGCCAATTGTCAACTAAGTTTTCAGTATCACAAACCTCCGTGTAACTCTGCCCCTGACTAACCTGTATATGAATAAAATAAACGCCAGGCAGGGTAGAAATGAATGATCCAAACAGTAAATGTTAGTTTTATAATTCTAATATCTAAGATGGATTGCTTAAGGCTTGGTAGATTTATGTTTTGGCTGTTAACAATCGAGTGATGCTGTGAGCTGGCTGAACTTGCGTGCCATACACTAAGATACAAAAAAAACGAGACCACGCCATGGTAGAAAGAAGAAACTACGTCATATAATGAGCGCACGTTTGCTCCAAACAACATAAACATTACATTTCAAGGCTGCGTGAGCTAAGCAACCATCCACGGTCCCATAGATATGCCTGTTTTACTGTATTGTACATAATCTGTAAACAGGCTCATAATAATATAAAAAAATAAAAGATGTTTTATAATCGAAATTCCGTCACAGGCACTTAAAATTTGGGTGATCAACGAAAATCCACAAATGTGGATTACTGCTCTTCTGACTAAAATGCTCTTTGGAATGGGGATACCCACATGTGTTGTCGTTAGTCTGAGAGAGTTTTAATGAATTTCAGAAACTACATTTTTGTTACATAACTATGAAGCTAAGACAGCTGTCTTCGGTCAATGTAGCTAAAAAAAACTATTCTAGATATTTCTGTTAGTGTTTTCACAAACAAGATATTGAAAATAAAATCTCATTGGTGGAATGCTTCTTGTATGTTGACAGCTCTGTTGCCATTGGTGAGAGTTGAAACAAAACTGTGTAAAATTGCCATAGTATGTAATCCTGCGCGTGGAGTGAGCACAGGTAGACTGACTGGCTGCTGACCCGGGTCACGCTGACCTAGCAGCATACAGCCCGCCAAAATTAAAGGAACACAGATTCGGCACTGTTATCATATCAAGTATATCTGTCTGCTGACACGTTGTATCCCATTCAGCCTGAGTTGGCTTTGGAAAGGCATATATATAAACGTGCCATGTAATCCATGGGGGGAAAATATGCTTAGGTTAAAGAGAAGATACATGCACATACACACATTCGTTATCTGTGTCTGGTATCTTCAGCAGCTCCACTTGGAGCTTGCCATGAGACGTTTCAGCTCTCTCTTCTCACACACACTTACAACAGCGTGCTTGTACCCACATCCTTGACACACACTCAAGTTTTAATACCAATTCTTGCAGCCAGAATCACAAACAACTGGTATTCTTCTAACAAAGCTGTCGAAGATTGTTAATAATAATGCATTTATTATATATATATATATATATATATATATATATATATATATATATATATATATATAGGGTCTGGTCATTCATTTTCCTTCATATGTAGTTAATGACTCCACTTCTTGCTCTCCCATACTTATTCTGTTAAATACAGAATCATAGTTTAGAAAAGGTGGTTTGCCAGCAAATCAAAGGTGTTTCAGAAATATTATAATTAATAGCATAGGTCAGCAATTTTGTTAGAGCTTTTCAGTTTTGTCATATTATGCTCGTTGCAATTTTGTCGATTGTCTCTTGAATCGGCATAGAAGTCTAGCATATGACTACTATAAACAAAAAGGCCAAGTTAATTCAGTCCATCGTAAAAGGACGACCTTGTTTCTGAAAAGAACAAACAAAATGCCTGTCAGCCCATATTGCCAGTGTTGCCTACTCCACGAGAACTGGTTCCTTTCCAAAAAAAACCCCAACAAATCCCACATTAAATTTTAAGATGACTGATAATTTGTGAATTATATTAAAGTGACGATTTACTAAATGTCATTTCTTTACCACGACCTTTGATATTTACCATCATTTTGGCTGTAAAAGTCAATATTTGAGGGTGACAAAGTGTGAACACATGCCCGTGGCTTTGCAAAACACTCCAAACTGAACATAGAACAAGTAAGAGCAATTATTGATTTTTACTTATCTAATCATCTGAATTGAGCATATTGCACACCAAGTCTTCGATTCGGTGTGATTTGGACATTTGTTGAAAAATGTCACAATTAGCCAACATTGTAAATAACAATTCAATTCATTATTAGAGTTTTTTTTGCAATGAAACTGTTATTGGTGGAAGCTTTAACAGACAATGTGATGTTTAGAGTTTGAATTGGTTAATGAGAACCTGTGTTTCTTTGGCTGATATTGAATTTTTTGATTGGCCAGTATTTTAAATAGATCATTCAACATGTTTTAGCCATTTCTTTGAGCAGAAGGTTTTGTTTAATTTGAAGAGGAGTGGGGAAAGAATGACTGGGAGTGTGTTGAAACAATGGGTTGAATGACGGGTGGTATGTTGCAATAAGATTGTAACACCCTACTCTACTATTTATCATCTATTTTTTTGTCCTCAGTTTACTAGACAAGTGTCCTCCTGGTACGCCCTTCATCGTCATGTGCTTTTTGTGCCGCTGCATCGAGGCTCTGGGTCTTTCCGCTTACGTCACTGCCAGTTTTGCCATCATCTCCAATGAGTTCCCCAAACACATCGCCACTGTCTTTGTGAGTTAAAGGGGGGGGGCGGGGAGAGTAGGGAGGGGGGGGTACAGAGGAGGAGGACGGAAAGTTTGAGTAAAGGGGAAAGGAAATGGGGCATAGTATGAGAGAGGAGGGGGAGTAGGGAGGGAAGCAGTGGAGGGGAGAAAAAGAAGAGATGCAGGAAAGCCTGCTTTGTTTAATAAAAGAAAAGATAATTTTTAAAAAAATTACCTCTTTGATTTTGATGGCTGGATGCAATTTGGCATTTTTTAAAGTTTTGTACCCCGACATTGATTTATTGCTATTTAGAAATTAGGTGACAATGACATGTAATGCTTACGTCAGTGGGCACTTCTATTTTCATAGTAAATACCATTACTGCACGAAGAGCAACTTCACTAATGCGCCATTGTTAGATGGAGAAGTGCAGTGCCTTGGGTTTGAGTAAGGGTTGGTGTGTCTTTCTCAGGGACACAGTGCAGTAACTGTCATTAACTTTCTTGACACTGTGAACTTAAAGGCATAAATATACCTTAGTCTCGAGCACACATTATGATTAATTTACCAGTGACAGACACACAGACCAGACATATTGATGGAAAAATCTTTACTGAAATATGACGACAGAAGGATAAGGATATACAGGACAGGGTCTGCTTAAACTGAAATCTGTGGGCCACACTGAATTTTCTTCGGTTTAACCAGGATTTTGGTTTAGAGAGGTTGCTCAAATAGAAGGGAAAAAAATCTGGAGAAAAAAATATTATGAAGTCGATTCCCAGTTTGCTGGGATTGAAGTTTCATTCCTAGAAGGGTGCTTTGCTCTCTGTCCATTGTGCTAGAAATAAGTTGTTGCAACTGGCAGAGACAAAAACTATAAATGAGAATGGTATGCTCCCTGCAGGCTGTAAGGTCAAATGTGCCAGTAACTTTTCGAATGCAATTGCTTTTTTTTTTGCTTTTTTTTGCTTTTTGTTTAGATGCTTTACAGTTTTTAATATTTATTTCAGGGTATTTTAGAAACAGCCAATGGGATCGGTTTGATGCTGGGCCCTGCCGTTGGAGGAGGTCTCTATGAGGTATGGCTTGACTTGTCTCCCCTTGTACAAATTGTGGATTTTTCTAGGGGTGCCAGTACTGTTTCTTTACAATACCTCTGTTGTTTTTGTCTGTCTGGATAACCTTTTCCTGGAGCTAAATAAATTTCTTGTCTTGATATGCCTTTTTTAAAACTCATATCAAACATCTCAATGATTATAACTCACCTGTACACGATATGTGAAACATTGATATGTTTATGATGTAGCCTAGCCCTGCATATGGTGAATGGGATGGAGGCTTCACGCTCACTGGAGAGATGATAGACACATCTTAGTATGGTTGTAGACTTGCTTGTATTACGTAAAGCTCTCTGACAGCCAATGTATGAAGGGAATATAATCAATGTGTATGTGAGAAGGGGGGTTGGGGTGTATGTGTGTGTATGCAAGTTTTTTGTGGGAGAGAGAGAGAGAGGGAGAGAAAGGATCACTAGTGGACGCGTATGATTCTTGTGTTCTTCGTATTATTCTAAATTAAAGTGCTTTGAGCGCTGTCTTAGTGAAAATGCGCTATAGAAGTGACATTAAGTATTATTATTAATATAGCTTCCCATAGTGATTTTTATGAGATGCTCAGCAGAGAAAAGCTTCTTGTACAGAAGGCAGTATAAGCTTCTGCAATTGTTCTTATTACTTCTCTTATCCACACATGGCTCAATTATTCATAGGGGGGGGTCTCGTGGCCTAGAGGTTAAGGTGTTCGCCTCTCATTCAAAGGTCCAGGGTTCAAATCCGGGTAGCGACCCAAAAATTTTCTTCTGTAAAATTGTTTCTTTTCACCTCCTTTCCTGCTCTCTAGCAATGTTCTGTTGTCTGCTTTCATTTCCACTTTCTGCCCCCGCCCCCTCTCCTCCTTTGCCCCCTCCTCTGGGCTCCTGACTCTTTCTGCAGCCTTTCTACTGCTACTCCTTGGCTCCTCCTTACTGCTGTCTTTCTGCCACACCCCTGATCTTCTGGTAGGAAAGATCTACACCTAGCCTTCTCCGACAAGGGTGAAAAATCTTGGAGGGCGCGTGTGCAAGTTGCGCATGTTAAAGATTCCTTGGTGGTCTAAAATCGATAAGAGTAGTCTTCGCCCGCCACCCGGGCAAAATTCAAAATTTCCTACCAACTGAAAATATTAGGTGTGTCCCGCGCTCTCATATGACCGTATACAGTTGCGAGCGCTGTAAAACACTTTACAAAAACAAACAATTATTCATACATGGCACTTGTATAAATTGTACAAACTATTGACATGTTGGAATAGCAATAAAGACAACTTCAATTTCCATCTAAATTTTTAGAGTGTATTTTTTTTAGTGCTTTTACCTTTAAGACGTGGAGCATTACTTTCCATGCTTTGGAGTTGAGCAATGATAATAGAATTTTAGGGACTTCAGCTGTCTAAATTATTAAAATGACTGGAAAGAAAAGAAAACTTATTGTTATTATGGTGGATTCAGGTTTGACATAAGCAGGTATAAACAATTTTTGTTGTCTTTTCAGCTTGGTGGCTATGGAGTACCGTTCTTTGTGATCGGAACTTTGATTATTCTCAATGGTCTGTTTCTCTCCAAGTTCCTGCCTCCTCCTCAAAGTAAGACCTGATTACCTTTTTTTTTAAAACTTTAATTTTTATTACTTTTTTGCAGTCCTTGTTTTTGTTGGAGTTTTTTAAGAATATAGTAAAGAATCATAATATTAAAAAGTATGTTGTTTCAACGGTGACACTTTGGTTTTTATGTAAGAGTAATAGAATTAAAGAAAGAAGAACATACAATATTGATGTTATTACTAAACTTATAATATACTTGATATATTGGTCTAAAGATTTCTGTAAATGATGTGAGGGAGACATATTTAATTATGCTCTTGTAAGATATGTTTTTGTAAGTTTTGAGGCTGTTGTTGCTATCATGCTTATGTAATTATTGTGTAGGTGGTGGGCGGGTGCTCTGGTGTGGTCTGCTGCTTCTTTCCTATCAAACGTTGGTCGTTATTAACTCTCCTCCTACTTTTTTGTATAAATTATTCTCTTATAACATCTCTTATCAACAGCACTTGTATGACCCAATGGTGGTTCATTTACCTTTAAATTCTAGCTAAAACAAAAGTTATTGTTGCTGTTGTTGTTTTAATCCAGTATATTGTCACTTGTGTGAAAGACCAAATGACCAGTAAATCACTATCTCATAATTACAAAGTTCTATCTGCTCAGTACCTAGTTTGGAGAAATTTGACGTCAAAATTTGATAATGACTCCGAATATCCTTATGATTTTGATAAAGCAGATAGAGCATTTTCTTTTTGACCTCGTTGCCTTTGTCAGTCATAACGGCCAAACAAGTCAGATAGAACTTTGTAATTCTGAAGAAGGAAATGTCACTCTTGAGGAAGTCAATAAATGTTTGGTTTATTTTATTTTGATTTCAAAATTATTTTACTTAGTAAAGAAAATGCAAATAGATTATCAGGTTAAATCTGTTGGTGATGGTGCTGTGAATTTCACCGCAGCGTAAGTAGTTGCTGTTTGTTATGAAGACGATGTATTTGACCCCATTTAGTAAATCCCAGTTATTAAACTTTGTAATTTGTAAGCGGTATTGTGACGTCTCTGTAAAAAAATAATTCATTGTGGCATTTGATATATATGATTTAATCACTGGCTTTGTCATTTGAGTTTGGCTTCTTAACACCTCTTGTCTCATCCTGGTATTTCATTTGTCTTCAGTGGTATCTTATAAAATTGCTCAGTTTGTTTTGACAGATATATTAGTTTGATTCCTGCTTGGAGAAGTCTGTTTAAGCAAGCGTCTTTGTCTTTCTCATGGGGTACTGTGTCCCTCTCAGTGCCAGATTGGCCCTTGCAGACATGTCAAAGCTACCCATCTTGCAAATGATCGAAACTGTGTCGGTCACTGCCTTTCTCACCGGGCATCAGGGTACTGGCATAGAACAATCAGATTCCACCTTTCTCTATCCTGGGCTAGCGTCTTGGTATTATTCCACATCTTCCCAATTTTCTGTACCTCATTTTCTGTGAGTGGGTGGTTGGCAGGTGCTCGGGTGTGGTTTGCTTCTTCTTTCCTATCAAGCATCTATCGTCCTTATCTTCCCACCTTCTTTTTTATGTGTGTTACTCTCTTGTAACACCTCTAATCTTCTGGCGCTCATATGACCTTATGTAGTTGCGAACGCCGTAAAACCTCTACTAAAACTTTAAATTCTCTGTGACTCTTCTCCAGGTTCCATGTGGTTTTCTCCCATGATCTCTTATCCCGTGGGTTCCAATCCAACACTTTCTTTGTCATGCAGCTGCTGGGCTGCCTGAAATTATGTCTAATCCATAGCCACTGCCTTCAAATTGTGTCAATAGGGTAAAGAAAAAAATATGTGTAGTTCCTTAGAGGTTAGTAGTTAATGAAGTTTCTTGTGCTGCCTTTAAAATGTCTCTGTTTCCTCCCCAGATTTTTTCCAGAAGCGTAAAGGGTCGGTCTTTGGTCTGCTTCGGAGCCCAATGGTTCTGATCGCTATTGTAACCATCTTGGCTGGTGCGTGTGGCATAGCTTTTCTGGACCCAACCCTCGCTAAACATCTAGACAAGGTTGGTGTATTGTATAGGACGAGTGGTCCGAGTGAGGTTCAAGTCTCCTTGAAAAATGCCTTGATGGGTGCAGATGTGATTTTTGTGTATGTGTCTGTGAGAGAGGGAGGGAGGGAGGGAGAGAGAGAAAAGAGAGAGGTAACATTAACATATCGACAAAGAAAGGGAGAAATTATCTCTGTGCACATGTTTGTTTTTGTGTGTGTGTAGGTCTATGTGAGTGTCTGTGTGTAGGTGTGTATGTCTGTGCGTGTGTGTGTGTGTGTGTGTGTGTGTGAGAGAGAGAGAGAGAGAGAGAGAGACAAAGAGAGAGAGAGAGAGAGACAGAGAGAGAGGGAGAGGGAGGAAGAGAGAGAGAGAGAGAGGCAGATTAAGCAACAGAAAATAAGACGGAAAGAAAGAAAGGAAAAAATAATATTGTCTGTGTCTACGTGATTTGTACAGTTGCATGTTTTGTTCGTGTATGAATGCGATTAAAGAAAGTTGGAAACGCCATATCCAGGAACTGCTGAATCCTCCTGGAGAAACAACTCCAAACAACTTCTCACCTAAAAGACCACTCCAGAACCATCAATACTGCTGAGTGAAACCCGACATGCTATAAAGAAAAGCGCCACAAACAAACCGATAGGCGTTGATAACATCACAGCTGAAGAGATCCAGCTATGTGGTCATATCATATCGGTGAGCTCTGGCTATGGGGGATATTTAACCTGGCCTGGGCGACAAAAACTACACCTGATGACTGGCAACGAACTGTCATTGTACCTATTTGGGAAAAGAAAGGTAACAAAAGCGACTATGGAAATTACGGAGGAATATCCCTTCTCAACCATGGGGGCAAAATGTTTGCCAAGATACTGGAAATGAAAATGAGACAATTGTCGAGACTCAACTCAGTGAATCCCAGTGTGGCTTCAGAAAAGGCAAGGGCTATACTGATGCTATTTTTTGCATTAAGACAGTTCTGTGATACTGCCATTGCACATGACAAAGCCCTCAATATCGTCTCGTGGATCAGGAAAAGGCGTTTGACCGGGTAGATAGATGTCAATTTTGGGATGTCTTAGAGGAATATGGTATAAGAGGGCAATTGCTGGAGAACATCGTGGCTTTTTATAAAAACAGTCTGTGTGCCGTAAGATCAACAGAAGGACTATCAGACTGGTTCTCCATCAGATCCGGGGTGAGACAAGGGTGTGTTCTCTTTCCGCTTCTCTTCATCACTTACATGGATAAGATCACGAAAACAGCAAATGACAACATCACTGAACTGAACAAACATCTATTTGCGGATGACCAGAGTATATTAAATACAGATGAAGAGGAATTACAAAAACACACCACAAAATTTAATGAGTAATGTAAACACCTGAATCTGAAAATCTCCCTCTCAAAAACAGAAGTTATGAAGGTCAGCAGAAACCCATGGAAACTCAACATTCTTATTGATGGAACACAGCTCCAACAAGTAGAGGAATTTTTATATTTGGGAAAAGAAATAGAAACAAGAGCTAGGACGGCAAATGCAGTGACTTACCAGCTAGTGCCCCTGCTCAGTCACAAGAGCATCCCCACCGAAGTGAAATCCCAGCTCATTAGTTGCATCTTCATACATACTTTAACATACCAGTGCCAAACATGGTCTCTAAACATGGCGCAAGAAACAAAAATCAATGCATGCGAAAATAGGTGTCTCCGCAAAACCATCAACGTCTACAGAAGACACCGCAGAAGAAACGAAACCATACATCTGCAAACTGGAATGCTACCAGTAATAAAATTCATAGAGCGTCAAAGAGTCAAATGGTTTGGACATTAACCAGAATGCCCCAGAAACAACTAGCAGCTAGAGCTTACAACACCCGAGAATCCAGCTTCAAATCAATAGGAAGACCAAGAAAGATCTGGCTGCATGGGGTTAAAAAGGTCCTGGAACAACAACATATCTATCACAGACGCTACACACCTAGCACAGGACCGAAACTTGCACCTCCCCTCGACATCCTAAGGATACCAGAGGAAGGAAAAAGTAAAAGTAATGTATGCGTATGTATGTGTATACATGCGGGAAGCATGCTGACAAAATGAGTCACTTCTCGCAGTCCAAGAATAGATATATAGGCCGAAAATCCGCAATGGAAACAGATTTATTGATTTTCAATCGATACCATTGTCTTAAAGTTTAACAGATTTTCAATCGATACCATTGTCTTAAAGTTTAACATGTCTTATATTATTTCATACTTATAAATTGTTCAAACTGCACCTATAGATTTGACGTACCAATTTCCGTAGGGCTAGAGTTCAAGAAGTAATTCATCTTGTCTGCATACCTTATATGTTTTCTTTTACCCTTTGAACTGGAAATCACGCTTGTTTTCCAACCAAAAATGTACTGTCCTTATCTCTCTTCCTTTGGGTTTTTTGGGGGGGGTTTTTTTTGGGGGGGGGGGGGGGGTTGCTACTGTCTTGTAACACCTCTAATCTTCAGCGCCTACATGACCTAAATGTGTTGCAAATGTTGTAAAGTGCTTATTAGAACAAAATAAAAAAATAAAGAAGCTGTTGTTATGATTTTTTTCTACAGTTCAAACTGTCCACTGGTTTGGTGGGTCTGGTGTTTGTGGTGGTTCCGGGTCTGTATGGAATCACTGCCCCTTTGTGGGGCTACATCAGCGACTCGAAGGTAAGTTGTGTTCTGAGTGTTGTTGGTGTGAGTGGTGCGGGAAGATGGAGTGAGGTCGGAGAGAGTTGTATTTTATGGGGAGAGGTTGGAGGGGGAGAGATCGGTAGATGAGGGGGATCAGGGGGTGGGGAAAGAGAAAGGCGGGGAAAGGGG